TCTGCATGTCCAACTTGCACTCTAGCCCTTTGAGCTATCTCCCCAGCCCCTGAGATCTTTTTCTTGACATCCGTAGCGACATCCTTTGTTTTGATCCTCTGTAAGTTAATGTAATCAGTCTTCAACCTGTCTTTTCTTTTTATGATTTTAGATCAGATTTATAATATTATAAATATTTTTTTATTATAAATATTTTAAATTCTGGATTTCATGTCCTAAAGAATCACTTAGAAAATAACCTGGATTTCTTTCTTTTTTTTTTTAAATATTGTTTCCTTTCACTTTCATTGGAGGCAAATTGATTTTTGGAAGTAATTAGATGGTATTATCCATGAAAAGGCTCAGAAAATGATGGTTCTTCATTAACTTGGAAGTAATAAGCTCCTTATTAAAGGGAGTTAGTAATCTTATTCAAATGCACAGGTTTCAGAAGCACTAGCTCTGTTTTTGTTTTCTTTGGTGGGGGTTGGGGGAAAGGGGTGTTGGGACTATACCTTGGCTCGCTCTTCTGGCTCTGAGCTCAGGGATCATTCCTGATGTTGCTCAGGGGACCAAATGCAGTGCCAGGAATTGAACTGGGGTCAGTGGGGTCAACCCATGCAAGGCAATGAAAGTTCTTTAACTTCTGTACTGTCTCTGGAGCCCAGTACTCTAAGCAACTTGAATATTTCAGAGAATTTTGATGACTCCCAGTCATCATGTTCTTGAATGTGTTATACAACATAGGTCTTAGACTAATAGCAATGATTTAGTAGGACAAGTACTTTAATTTTTTTTTTTTTTGCTTTTGTTGGCGGGGGTGGGGGTGGTTTGGGCCATACCTCGCAATACTCAGGTTATTCCTGGCTCTGCACTCAGGATTACTCCTGAACCATATGGATCCAGAGGATCACATAGGATGCCAGGGATTGAACCTGTGTAGGTGTGTGCAAGGCAAACACCCTACCCCCTCTACTATCTCTCTGGCCCCAAGTTCTGATGTAGACCCTTGGAAAGAGAATTTTAGGAGGATCATGGAATCTTTTCATTTTCTTTAGGGAAAAGGGTATTTTTAAAATCACAAGTCTCCTGTTTCTTGTGTTTCTCTAGAATCACAATTCTTGTGTTTCTCTGAAACACCCAGGTGTCAATTTTTTAAGGTCTTGATTTGTATAATTAGCAGTTTCCACTTTGTCACCAGCATGTTACTGACTTTGAACACCATATCTAAACATTTTTTTCACATTTTCTTAATTAGTTGTTTACATGCAAATACTTCTGGTGGCCTATATGAAAGTTCTTTTCCTATGTAGTGCTGCCTTTGATTTGTTTGAGATAGGAGGGGAAAGAGCAAGGGGCTGGAATGAAATTAAAGCACTATATAAAGAAAATTCCACCCTGCACCAAGTGTTAGTTTTAGGGAGACCTTTGCAATGTTGACCACAGTTTTAAATTCAGTAAAATGTCTTCAATTGCTTCATTCTCCGATGGGGAATTTTATTTTTAAAAACTTATCTTAAATTTAAACTTTTTTAAAAAACATATGGGGTGGTACTCAGAGCTTATTACTGTCTCTTTGTTCAGGAGTTAACAGTGGACAGTGTGTAGGGGGCCATAGGCTTGGGGGTTGGGTGGAGTGGGTGATTATGATTTGAACCAGCTTCAGGTGAATGTAGACACATGTAAGGAAAGTGCTACACTTGGTATACTATCCAGCCCCTAAAGTTTAGTTTGTTTGTTTTGGGGCTACACTCCGGTGGTACCCAGGACTTAACTCCTGTCTCTGCATTCACTTATCACTCCCGGCAGTGCTGGGAGGACCACATGGAAATGCTGGGGATCAAACATGGGATGGCATGTGCAACACAGAGCACCCTACCCACTGCACTGTCTCTCCAGCCCTTAAATTTGAATTTTTAATATTCAGCATTTCACACTTTTCTTCTTCTTTTTTTTTGGGGGGGGGGGGGGTTGCATCCCAGTGATGCTCTGGTTGCTCCTGGCTCTGCACTCAGGAATTAACTCCTGACAGTGCTTGGGGGATCATATGGCATGCTGGGGAATCGAACCTGGGTCAGCTGCGTTTCCCAAGCCAAATTTCCCACCTGTACTATCCCACCGGCCCCTTAGATGCAGTTTTTTTTTTAAAAAAGTTTAGACCATCGTTCTTCTAGAATTCTTTTAAATGCTAAGAGAACAGATAGGAATGTTGTTAATTAGTTGTTCAGAATTTTGGGCTGCAAGTGTAGATTTCTTGGCCTCAGGTGCAGATCACTTGCTTTGGATATCTGAGGCTCTGGATTCAATCTCAGAACTACAACCACCCCCCTCTCCTCCACCCCCCCAAAAAAGGAGGACTGTAAGGAGCACTGTCCTCCCGTTGTTCATCAATTTACTCCAGCGGGCACCAGTAACGTCTCACAACAAATTGTGAGACTTCTTGTTACTGTTTTTTGTTTTTTTTTTGGCATATCAGATATGTCACAGGTAGCTTGCCAGGCTTTGCCGTGCAGGCAAGATACTCTCGGTAGCTTGCCGGGCTCTCCGAGAGGGGCGGAGGAATCGAACTCAGGTCGGTCGTATGCAAGGTAAACGCCCTACCCGCTATGCTATCGCTCCAGCCCCCCCCCCCAAAAAGAGAAAAAAAAGGGCGGAGAAGAAGAAAAATTCACAGGCCAGAGAGACAGTACAAAGGGTTAAGCACTTGCCTTGCAGGTGGCCAATTCCGGTTCAATCCTTGGCACCCAGGTACTGCCAGCACTGATCCCTAAGCATAGAGAATCAGGAGTAAGCCCCAAGCACTGCCAGGTGTAGCCCTAAACCCTATCCCCTCCCCCGAATCAGAATGTTGTTATAGTTGGTATGTGTTTAGGGAGATAACTTTTGAATTCATTTCAAACTTACAGAAAAGTTTTAAGAATAGTTTTAGGTGTATTAGGAACTTACTGAAACTGAGATTAATGACAGTGGTTAAAGAAGCTTTGGAGAGGTTTTTTAACCCAGATTAAAAAAACACTTCGCTGAGGAGGTGGCTTCTAATTGTTCCATTCAGGTGAAGCGCTCTAATCATAATTCCAAGCATAGTTCTTTGGGTAATTAACCGTAAATTAAGCTTAAGGCAGTAAATGCCTGCCAGTAGACAGCTGTAGATCTCTGATTATCCATGACTGAAACTTTATCAGCATTCTGCTGAACAGCCCTCAGTGCTGAGAAATGAGGGAATCCATTTGACCTTTGCATTAAATGGACTTGGATATGGCTTAAAAGGCCACATGTTTGGCATGTGGGAGCTCTTGAGTGTCACCTGCATGTTCCAGAGCACTGAGTACATGTGGCCCCTGAACCCTACTGTGGGTTGGCCAAAACAGAAGGAAAAAGTACTCAGTAAAAACTGTAAGTGCCAAATTAACTACAGCACTTACGCAGTGTGAGTTCTACTGGGCTTCCCAACCCTTTCTTAGGGGCCCCATTTTCAGTTCTTGCTGTGTCTTCGGAAGATAATCTCTGTGTGTGCATGTGTGTATTCTTTCCACTTTTATTTTTAGGCTGCGTAAGCGAGAATGCTGTTCTATCCATTCAGTTTTTATTTAAGGAGTCCCCTACTAATACCTACGTGGTTTTCTAGCCTTCGGTACTACAAATCGTGCCCTAGGACATCTTTGCCAAACTTCTTTATGTTGAGGTTTCTTTGTTTGTTATTGTTGTTGTTTTGGGGTCACTCCCTGAAGTGCTCAGGGATAACTCCTTCCAGGCTTAGGGAACCATATCTGGTGCCAGGGATAGAACCCCGATCAGCTGCAAGGCAGGCACCCTATCTTCTGTACTGTCGCCCCAGCCCACATGTGTAGGTTTCTTTAGAATGCATCCATTTTTTCTTTTTTAATTGAATCACCATGAGCTACACTTACAAAGCTTTCATATTTGAGTTTCACCCATCCCTCTACCAGTGTACATTTTCCATCACCAGTGACTCCATCTCACCCTTCCCCCTGCCTCTATGGCAGACAGTTTCCCTCTTACTCTCTTCTTATGGGCATTATGGTTTGCAGTACAGATAACGAGAGGCCATCATGTTTGGTCCCTTGTCTACTTTCAGCACACATCTCTCGCCCCGAGCGATCCCTCCAACCGTCATTGACTTAGTGATCCCTTCCCTGTCCCAGCTGCCTTCTCCCCCAGATCATGAGGCAGGCTTCCAACCGTGGGGCAATCTTCCTGGCCCTGTCTCTACTGTCCTTGGGTGTTAGACTCATATTATGACATTTTATATAGAATGCATCCTTAAAGTGGAATTGCTGGGTCAAAGGAAAGGTAGGCTTTTGAAATTTAGTTAGAAAATGTAAATTTTTTAGCCTGTTTTTCTTGTTAAGTAAACTTAAAACATTTGATATGGAACGGGATAAAATGGTCTTGCTACATTTACATGTGATTGTTCTTGATTTTGTTTATGTTCCTGATGGCTGATTTATAGGAAACATAAGTGATCCTTTGTAGTTGGGAGTGAGCTAATAATAACACAGGAATCTTAATCATAAGTATGAAGATATTGTGTTGATTCTAGTTGCTTCTACTTGCTGTTTGCCTTAATGTAAACTAATTTCCTAAAAGGGTCTTAACACAGTTTTTGCCCTGTTTCTTTTTAACTAGATCAAAGAGAATGAATGTCTTTATACTTAAAAAGTGTTAAAAATGGGTAGAGGTCATTCTGATTTTAGATATTTGGGTTATTCCAAAGACAGAGACTTTGGGTGATTTCCTAGTAATCTCTCTCTGTGGTTGTTTATTAAAAGGTATTGATTTCACTGAATAGTCAGTTGCTTCCATTTGGTACTGAATTCTTAGAGCCAAAAAATAAAATGTTGTTAACATTTTATTAACTTCTAACTATGCTTTAAAACTTCATTTTGAAACTTAATTGATTAGAGAAATTATCTTTTCACAGAGCAAGTGTTTGTATGGTGTAGCGTACAAAAAAATTCTGGTTCTGAATTTTTTAGTTTGTTCTTGCTAATTCCTCTATCTCTACCTTTACTCTTTCCAGAATCCTACTCTAAGACCGTGAACACTCAAGTATCCAATATGGTGTTGGGTCCAGAACAGAAGATTCCAGATGGTAACTTATAGTTTTATATTACTGTAAATATTTTATTTTAATTAGGGTCAAGAAACAGAAATCTCCCATTGTATAATGGTAACATAAAAGGGCTGGAGCAATAGCACAGCAGGTGGGGCATTTGCCTTGCATGCAGCCGACCTGGGTTTGATTCCTCCCCGCCTCTTGGAGAGCCCGGCAAGCTACCAAGAGTGTCCCGCCCACATGGCAGAGCCTGGCCGTGTTCAATAAGCCAAAAACAGTAACAAGTCTCACAATGGAGACGTTCCTGGGCACAACAATGGGAGGACAGTGCTACAGTGCTATAATGGTAATGTGTACTAGTTTTCTTTTCCCTTTTTAGGAGGAAAATGTGCTAAGGAGAGGGGAGTTATTCACAGCTCTGTGCTCCCAGGAACCATGTGATAGAACTTGGGCCTCCTGTGAGTTCAGCAGGCTTTGTGTGTACCTAACCCTTTGAGCTCGCTCTCTGGCTCTATCTGCTGTATTCAGAGTTGACTTAGGCTATATGTGAAAATGGATTTATAGCCATAGAGACCTGCCTCACCTCTTACCTCCAATTCTAAGGTTAGCCAAGATTTGCTGCAGGTTTGTATTCTAGAGCAATCCTGCAGCATTATTGGCCGACCTGACATCACAGCCTCTGAAGGACTTTGCTCAAGATCCTCCCTAACGTTTCAGATTTGTGTAGAGCAGTAAAATACAGGGCAATGTACAGTATCTAGTACAAACACAGAATAAGTAGACATATTTATTGGAGTTTCTTGAGTGTTTTACTAACCCTGATTCTAAGCTTCCCTTTTAGAATTTCCATTCATTTTCTGTAAGTTTCCTTATCCATTCACGGACATTCAGGGTGAATTGGTTAGCTCCTTTTTGGGTGAAGGGGGAAGAGAGATTTCTTTCGGTAATTTGAGGCTGCATTGATTTCTTTTGAAAACACTGAGTCAGAGCATTGCAGCTCAAAATAGCCATTTGATGGCTACCGTAAATTGCGTTTTGTGTTTTTCTTACTCATTAGTCCTTTTCTCCCAGACTCTCACTTTCTCTGGAAGGAGGGGTGGGAGAGGGAGAAACGCTGAAATTAGTCTGAGATGAATACACTCTTATCACATGGCTCCAGTATCTGGTGACCTGGAACCCCTCAGAACTGGCTCCTTTCCTCAGATAGAGACAAAGGTTTCCTGCTGTTGGTTTCCCTGCAGTTTCAGATTTCAGTTTAAACTGGCAGGATTTTGCAACTTCCACATTTTTGAGAAGCCTGCAGGAAGTAATGTCCAAGGAGGATTCTGTGACTAAACCTTAGTGAACAGTGATATTTAGGCTGTTCCACTAAACTGTATTAGTTATTTTGTTCTAAAGCTTAGGATTTCAGGAGCCTAAGATAGAACAGCAGATAAAGCACTTGCATTGGGTACAACAGACCCATATGGTTCTATGTGGTCCCCTACTCAGCCAGGAGTGATCCCTGGGCACACAGAGAGCAAGGAGCATGCCCTGAGCACTTTTGGGCATGGCTTCTCCTCACAAAAAAGTTAGAATTTCAGAGGCTGGTGACAGAGACAGCTGGTAGAACTCTTGCCTTACGCACATCTGGGTTTGATCCCTAGTACCCCAAATTGTCCCCTGAGCCCTGCCAGGAGTGATCCCTAAATGCAGAATCAGGAATAAACCCTGAACCTTTCAAGATGTGGTCCCAATACTAAAAAGCTAAAAATTAAAAAATTAAATTTAGATTTTAGGGACTGAAATGTAGCTCAAAGCATGCTTCATGGGTGTAAGGCCCCAAGTTGGATCCCCACACCAAATAAAAATTAAAAAAGAGAAATCTTACAAGTAATTTTTGTTTGTTTTTTTTTGGGGGGGGGAGGCACACTTAGTGGTACTCAGGGCTTACTCCTAGCTCTGCACTCAGGAATTAATCTTGGGGGTTCAGGAGACCATATAGGATACTGGGGATCTACCCTTCATTGGTGACATGTAAGGCAAGTATTACATGCTGTAATATCACATCGACCCTCAAAGATAATTTTTAATAAGTAATAAAACTTAGAACCTGGGAGGGGGTGCGGCTGGTAATACCTGGCAGTGCTCACAATTTACACCTGGATCTATAAGCAGGGATCTCTCCTGGCAGGGCTTGGTGGACCGGAATCGTATTTGGGTACATGCAAGGCAAGTGCCTTACTGTGCTACCTCAAAGGGATTTTAGTTACTTATCGAAGGGCTAGTCTGCACATGCCATCTTGTTTGTTTGCTTGTTTATTTGCTTGTGATCCCTGAGCTTAGTGCTTCCTTCTGGCTCTGCACTCAGGAATTTCTCCTGTTGTTGCTATGGGACCATATGGGATGCCAGGGATTGAACCTGGGTTGGCTGTGTGCAAGGCGCTGTTCTTTTGCTATGGCTAGCAGATGTTGAGGCCACCTTATCAGTGTTTTTAGGAGCAGATGGAATAGGTCTGAAATTGCCAAGTGGGTACAGAGTAGGAAAGCTGAAAAACATTTCTGAGATTGGTATGTTAAAAATGAAGAAACAGCAGTCCCCAGATTTTCAGTTATGCCAAGATTTGTTACCTAATCTAATTGTAGTTTTAGCCTGTCTCAAACTGGAATTTCCAGTTTGTAACTGGAATTTTCTGTTGTGGGAGTCTACATGATAGGAAACCTATTTCCTGAAGGAGGGACATGTCTTGTCTGAAAGAATCTCTTGCTGAATAACCTCCATGTTGTGCTTTTAGTATCCAGACCTCCATTTTCATACAATATGTTTCATAAATGAAATTTGAGAATCTCATAATGTCACTGTCACTGTCCTCCCGTTGTTCATCGATTTGCTTGAGCGGGCCCAGTAACATCTCCATTTTGAGACTTGTTGTTACTGTGTTTGGCATATCGAATACGTCACAGGGAGCTTGCCAGGCTTTGCCATGCGGGCGAGATACTCTCGGTAGCTTGCCGGGATCTCCAAGAGGGGCTGAGGAATCAAACCCAGCTTGGCCGGGCCAGCTGCATGCAAGGCAAACGCCCTACCACTCTGCTATAGCTCCAGCCCACAATAAAAATAAACCGAAGAATTTATATATATATATATATAATACATAATATATAATACAATTTTCCCTTATTCTTTCATTTCCAAAGTGTGCTTTTTTTTTTTTTGGACTGGTATGATTATCTATATCTTTTTTTTTTTTCTTTTTGAGTCACACCCAGGAATGCTCAGGGGTTACTCCTGGCTCTGCACTCAGGACAGGAATTACTCCTGGCAATACTTAGGGGACCATATAGGATACTGGAGATTGAACCTGGGTCAGCAGCATGCAAGGCAAACGCCCTACCCGCTGTGCTATCACTCCGGCCTCTATCTATATATTTTAAGCTCTAGGTCAAGATACCTATTTATACTGAATATACAAAAACAAATGCAAACCCATAAATAAATCTTGAAAGAGATCAAAAAGCTGCAATATATCTTGGACACATGCATGGCCGAGTAATCTGGGGCATATCGGGGGGGGGGGGGGTGTTAGCCCAGTGTCCGCCCAAACAGAGTCCCCACCCCATCACTAGTACCCCTGGAGGTGGCTTGGGGCGATCACTGTCAACCAAGCATCCTTAGTCCTTGCTTTGAACCATAAAATAAAACAAACCTGAATTGGGGTCCTTGGCAGACCCAGGGATTATTCAGTGAGAGAGAGAGGGCGCGCACTGGAGAGACAGGCTGAGGGTGGAGGGGTTGGGAGATGATGGGAGGGGAACTGGGACATTGGTAGTGGGAAATGTACACTTGTGGAGGGATGGGTGTTGGAACATTTTATGACTAAAACCCAAACATGAGCAGCTTTGTAACAGCTTTTTCTATCGTATGGTGATTCAATCTTTTTTTGGCTTTTTTGGGTCACACCTGGTGATGCACAGGAGTTACTCCTGGTTCATGCACTCAGGAATCACTCCTGGCGGTGCTCGGGGGACCGTAGGGGATGCTGGGAATCGAACCTGGGTTGGCCACATGCAAGGCAAACGCCCTACCCGCTGTGCTATTGCTCCAGTCCCTCAATTTTTTTTTAAAGGATTATAGTGTGGAGACTTTTCCTGGAATTATAAGATCAGGTGTATGTATGTGTAGGAAAATGCAGTGCTCAGGGCTTACTCCTAGGTCTTTTATCAGTAGTGACCCCTAGCATACTCAGGGGACTAAATACAGTGCCAGGAATAATCAGACCAGGGTTGTCTCCATGCAAGGTAAGTGTCTTACCTTCTTCTGTACACACACACACACACACACACACACACACACACACACACACACACACACACACTTCTTCAGTCCCATCCTGTTTTTTTCAGCTAAGCATTGTATTTGTCCTGATGGTTCCCTATGTTGTGAGGGCATTGCTGTCCAGTCACCTGAGTCAGATCTCCTTCACAGTCCTAGTTACCAGATGCTAACAAGACAACATCCTAAATCTCTCTGGAATTGCTCGCTTTCCATTTGCATCTCCTTTTGTGAATCAGGTTCTTCGCTAGTCTAATGTAGATTTTAATTGCTCTACTGCAGCTTTCTCTTTTTCAGTCAATGGAGGCAACTCCAGGTCTGAGTTTTATTTTTGTAGTTATTGTATCATCATAATAGTTTTATTCAAAGTAGCACAAATGTGGCTCTAAGTCACTTTTTTTCTCAACTGCAACTGTTGATACCTGTGCATGCAAAGTTCGAAATCAACACTTTGTCACTGACAACTCCCTTAAGAGTGTAACTGGATTTTTCTTACCTGCTGAATCAGGATGATTAATCTTGATTTCATATTCCAGTTTTTACTGAATGTAATAAAGATCTGAATCAATTTTCTGGAATATCAGCTCCAACTTACTAGAACATTCAGCATCCATGTTGAATGGTTGGCATTCTGTAGTGCTAGTTAAATCTGGGCTGAATGTTTTTATTTGAGAAATGTTAAAACTCACCTAGAGCTGAATGATGGGGAATATAGGGTAAGTTACAGCCTTTTTCAAAAAAATTTAAGTCATAAGTTTTTCTTTGGTGTGTTTTTTGATTTTTTAACAATATGAAAGTATTGTGGGCCAAAAAAGACAGTACAAGGGTTAAGGTGCTGACCGTGGCTGATTCTGGTTTTATCTCCAGTACCAAAGGTTCCCTGAGCACTGCCAGGAGTGATCCCTGAGCAGAGCCAGGTATTAAGCCCTGAACACTGCTGGATGTGGCTTCAAAACCAAAATATATATATATATATATATATATATATTACCTATTTAAATTTTATTAAAAATATAAATGATTGGAAATTAATTGAGCTAGAGTAATTTTGATCTTGGGCATTTAGGAATTAAAAAGATTTCTTTCAGTGTTTCTATGAATGAGTTGTTAATGTATTTTGTTCACCTTTAATCTTTCTCCAACTCAATTAAGATGATGCATCTGGGGACCATGGGGACTCTGCCAGTCTTGGAGCCATTAACCCGGCCTACAGCACCTCTTCTATTCCTCAGTCCAACGGGCATGCAGAGGAGCCCTTCAGCACCTACTTTGATGAGAAAATCCCCATTCCTGAGGAGGAGGTTAGTAAGAAGTTTTTGGAGAAAAACCTAATTGTCTAGGGAAAACCTGTTAGTGAAGCCAGCTAGACAAATCAAGATCACCATCCTCAAAGCGATTTTTGACAATTTTTGAAGGCAAGTTTTTGGTAATCAGAATAAAGGAAACTATTTAAAGGGAGCCTAGAAAGCAGTTGCTAAGTTATGCATTGCATGCTTTTTTGGTGGAGAAAGAATGCATTTTTATTTGTGAATCCCTGGGTTTGATCTCTGGCAGCCCCGAGTAAATAGAAAGTATGTGTCTGGTGTCCCTTCTTAAAGGTAGTTTTTATTCTACTTGAAAAGTACTGCACACTGACACAGTGATATTCGTCCTCTAGCCTTTGAGTGAGGGGTTAATGGAAAGAGCAGGTAGGAGAAGGGTTGGTTTTTGGAGAGAAGTGGGCAGCTCATAGATAAGAAGTAGATGAGGAAGTAAAACAGGGACTTAGGCATTATCCAGCTTCCTTAATTCTCTGTTCTTGTGAATCTGTGACATTGTTGCTGTATGTGTGACAAATAGCAGGTAAGTTAGATCAGACTGTAGGTGTGATTTATCCGTTTGTTCTCTTTTCTTCGTCTCTTTTTCTAGTACTCTTGTTTTAGCTTTCGTAAACTCTGGGCTTTCACGGGACCAGGCTTTCTTATGAGCATTGCCTACTTGGATCCAGGAAACATCGAGTCCGATTTGCAGTCTGGAGCAGTGGCTGGATTTAAGGTGAACATCTGGTCCCACTCGAGTCCCTCTGAACACCCATATAAATCACCCTTTTCTTTCCTCTACCCTCCCTGGTGTGCGTCTGCCACAGGGGCTGCAAGCAGATGCTGTAGTGGTAGGGAAACTTCAGTGAGGAGTACTTTCCCATTTTCTTTTTCTCTTGTTTTATCCACATTATTTCCTTGACTAAGGGAAACTGCAGATGGGAGAAACTAAGGATCATAAAGGCACGAGTAACCTAATAGGTCGTGACAGAACCTGATGTAGAACTTGGGTCATTTGATCCCTCAAGAATGTTTCCCATCACATTGCCCAGCAGTTAAACGAACAACTCACTCGTCTAATGAGTGCTGTGGTGGGCTTTTGTTTTTCTCTAGTTGCTCTGGGTTCTTCTGCTGGCCACCATTGTGGGGCTCCTGCTCCAGCGTCTTGCTGCCAGACTGGGAGTGGTCACTGGGCTACATCTTGCTGAAGTGTGTCACCGGCAGTATCCCAAGGTGAGCAATGTACTGCTACTTTTGTTTGTCACTCGTATCATCAGAATCTGTGTGTCTGCCGAATTGATGGTCTTCCTGTATTTTGAAACAGCAAGACTTGGGAGTCAGTGGCCCTGTGGAGTCCTAGTGGAAATACTGTAGCCCTTCTCACTGCCAAGCCTAATTTTTCTACTTCAGAAAGATTTGAGGGGCTGGACAGACAGTACAAGGGTTAAGGTGCTTGTCTTATACATGGCCAGCCCCATTTCAATTTCTGGCATCATACATGGTCCCCTCAGTACCGACAGGAGTCAGGAATGATTCCTGAGCGCAGAAACAGGAGTACGCTTTGAGCATTGCCAGGTATGGCCAAACCGCATCCCCCACAGACCCTCCCAGAAAATCTTGATTTGTGGGTTCAGGAGGATAGCTCAAAGTACTCATGTACATACTTTACGTGCAGAAACCCGCTTTAAGAGCCCTTGCACTGCATGCTTTCCTGATCACTGCTGGAAATGACCCCAAGCCCAGATCCATGAGTAGCTCCTGAGCGCTGTTGACTGTAGCTCAAAAACTCAAAATTAAGTCATTAAACTTGAAATTCAGTTTTTTCCAGAATGGTTACCTAGAAAAGTTTTGTTTGAGCAAATCTTTTCCTTCACTCCACCTTCCTTCATTTAGCAGAGTCTCGGCTATGGAGGAACGGGAAGTACTCTCTCTCAGCACTTTCATTCCTACATCCACATTACTGTGCAGTGCTCTGCAGATTTCCTTTTTTGTTTGACTCTGATCACTTTGAAAACGTAATTTTTTTCCCTTTAAGTTATATGTGGCAGGATCTTGGGATTGTTGGTTGGTTGTTGGTCTGGGAGTTGCTTGTACCTGGAGGTACAGTTAATAAATAATAAAATAAATTATATTTTATAAATTATTAGTAATTTTTATATTTTTAATTATTTTTTCTCCTCACCTTTGTGAACATCATTAACAAAATGTTTCCTTCATTTGGACTTTTTGGTCCAATTTAATTTCCTGTTTTGTTAAATGTCTCCTGAGTCCAGCTTCTTTTCCTAAGTCTGTTTGCATACCTGTATTATTGCATTGGAGGTTAACCCTCTTATTTTTGAAGCATTATCTCACAAGCTATACTTGAGTTCCAAGGGGACCATCCTTTGTTATATTCATATTTAATATCCTGGAACTTTTATTTTGTCTCTTTCGTAAGAGTAGGTTGAAATTTTCTTCCATCATCTTCTATTCTCTTTACTTTGTTTTCTTATTTTTCAATTTTAAAAATTATCATAACATTTTCAACAGTGTTAACATTTATGATATTGATGTTCAAGAAACTATGCCCTCTCCACCAAGCGCTCCATCTCCCCCCACCAAAGTGCCAAATAACCTCCACCAGCATTCCTGTGTTGCTTTTAGTCTGTCTCTTCATTCCTCCCCCTCTGCTGGCTAATTTCAGCTTTGTAATCCAAGACCAAGGTGTTGTCATTGTTTAATACTGTCAATTCCCTTGTTTTCTTTTTCTGTATGTCACAGATGAGTGAGATCACACATCCACATTTGTCCTATTCCCTCTAACCTATTTCACTTAACATCTTGTTCTCTCTTCTCACTCTCTCCCTCTCTCCATATATATACATATATAAGTACACACATACACACATATGTAAGTAGCACTGTAGCACTGTCCTCCCGTTGTTCATTGATTTGCTCAAGCGGGCACCAGCAACATCTCACAACAAATTTTGAGACTTGCTGTTGCTGTTTTTGGCATATTGAATGCTTCACGGGTAGTTTTCCAGGCTTTTCCGTGAGAGCAAGATACTTTTAGCTTGCCGGGCTCTCCGAGAGGGGTGGAGGAATCGAACCCGGGTCAGCTGCGCTCAAGGCAAATGCCTTACCTGCTATGCTATCGCTCCAGCCCTCTGAATAATATTCACTCTTAGACATCTGCTTTCTTGTCTTAAGCCTCAGTTGCCCTCAGTTGCCCCCAAAGCAGTGTCCCAACGAGGAACTAAATGGACCCAGGGCAAGCTGTGAGCTACCCTGGCATCAAAATGGGCGAGGCCAGAGCGCCAGAATACTCAGCTATAAGTCAAGAGCATGGTCATGGACAAACTCTGTCATGACCCAAAAGAGGTAACTGGATAAGGACCCTGCTGGGGTTAGGAAGACTAACCTGTCCCGAGTACTGTGGTCTGGAATATATAGTGAGATGTCTTCAGGAAGAACCAAACTTTAAGCTTGATATATCTCTTACTGTGCTCATACAAAATGCCATCACATATATAGGTATCTTATATATATATTTTTTCCTTTTTTTTAGGTTGTGTGTGAGTGGTATGTGTGTCTGTGTGTGTGTATTTGGGGGCCACTCCTGAATCTGTGCTCGGGTCACTCCCAGCAGTGTTTGAGGGTGGGGGACATACGGTGCCAGACATCAAACTGGGGTCAGCTACATACAAGGCAAAGGCCTTAGCTTCTGTACTGCATCTCTGTCCCCCGTAAACAATATTTTGATCACATCAGCAGAACATTACTCCCCCTTCCACTCCCGAACTCTGGGACTGTTCTAACGCAGGAAGTAGAGTAGAAATGAATTCATGGATGATTTGTTTCTCTCTTGAGTAAAAGGAAAGAGGAAAAGAGAAAGATGAGCATATGATTTGGACTCAGATACTTTGGGACATTTTGGGGGGGGGGGGGTGCTGCAATGCAGTAATGGGCCCAGTGGAACTGGAGGCTCATAAAGGATTGTGTATGCATAGGTGCCGAAATGGTAATTCTAAACTATTGAGGAAAAGTTTATTGAAGTAAATCATTAGAATTACGTCTCTCTGCTCTTTGGTGTCCAGGTGCCACGAATTATCCTGTGGCTGATGGTGGAGACGGCTATCATTGGCTCAGACATGCAAGAAGTCATCGGCTCCGCCATTGCCATCAATCTCCTATCTGCTGGAAGGTGAGTGTTTTGCTAAATTTCAAAGCACGTGTAAAAACAAAAGCCTGGCTCATTTTCAATCATTAATTTTCAACTCTAGAGTTACCTTTTCTGTGGAGTCTTTCTGGAATTAATTTCTCTTCTCCTGGGAGATGTAGGCTTTAAACTTCTCATGTTGTCACATTGGGTTCTCCATATTGCTGATCCCCAGTGTGTGGCTTTGTGTATTATAAGTATTTGTATGTTGATTTCCCCAGAAGTATGACTCAACCTTTTCACTTTTGAGAAGTCTGACACAGTAGACTATCACAGTTTGAATTGTTGCTTTGATCTTAGTCTTAGCCTCCTGCTCTTGTTCCTCTAAGTGCTGTATACCTGGAGTTGTTGGGGAGAACCACAGAAAGTTGTTGCCTTTTTTAAAAACCGTTAATTCTTATTTCTAAACTAGGATTCCTCTGTGGGGTGGAGTGCTTATCACCATCGCAGATACCTTTGTGTTTCTCTTTTTGGACAAATACGGTAAGGAAAGTGGGAATGGAGGGGACAGTTAAGGACACCACTTTTCATCATGTTATTATTGGGGAAGTTTGCTTCTAGGATTCTCACTGTTACATTTTCCCCTGTAGGCTTGAGGAAGCTGGAAGCTTTCTTTGGCTTTCTCATCACTATTATGGCCCTCACATTTGGATATGAGGCAAGTGTTACAGGATATTTATGACTTTTTAAGACAAACTTACATTTTTGCTCTTTATTATAAAAGAAAGTATAATGCTATTGTGGCTTGATTGTGTCTTACATTTTAAAAAAGTCCAGTTTGCTTCTTCACTGTTTATTTAAATAATTTCATTGAATCACCATGAGATTCACAGTTACAAAGCTGTTCTCAGTCATACAATGAGAACAATGGTTTATATAAATTAGATGTGATATTAGGACACATGGTGGAACAAGGATAGTCTGGGGCACTCTGATAGTGGTAGAAGTGAATTAAGATTGTATATAAAAATCATAAAAATTAACATTACTGTAATCATGTTGGGCTGGAGTGATAGCACAGCGGGCAGGGCGTTTGCCTTGCACGCAGCCAACATGGCTGACCCGAGTTCGATTTCTCCGCCCCTCTCGAGGAGCCCGGCAAGCTACCGAGAGTATCCCGCCCCCCCAGCAAAGACTGGCAAGGTCCTCCTGGCATATTCAATATGCCAAACACAGTAACAAGTCTCACAATGTTACTGGGCCCAACGGGAAGACAGTGATAAAGTGATACAGTGTAACCATGTTGTCTAACCTAAAATAAATTAAAAAATGAAAAATAAATTTTAAATTCCTAAAAATTGACACTATTGTAACCATGTTATCTAACCTAAAATAAATTTCAAAAATTAAAAATAAATTATAAAAGAAAACTTAATTCTTCTTCCCCCCCAAATTCAGTTCTCACCCAGTTTTGCAGGATTATGGTCACTGTAAGAACAAGTCTCACAATAGAGACGTTATTGGAGCCCACTGAAGCAAATCGATGAACAGCAGGAGAACAGTGCTACAGTACACTAGGTTTCAGGAAGGTCTGCAAGTGACCCCAAGTTTTAAAAAAACAGACTGAATTGTGTAGGACTTTTGATATTGTACGACCTGGTTCCAGCTGGCGTGTTCTAACAACAGAATAACCAGCCTTCGAGAGAGGAGCAGAGGGAGGGTTGCAGGGCTATTCTTGGCTCTTCACTTACAGCAAACCTATTTTTGCTTGTCTTAGTTTCTGCCAACAGCAACTTGAACTTTCCCTGTATTGCAACAGTTGATGAACTATAATTTGTGCCCCACCCCAGACATGCCTAGGAATTTTTCACCTAGGAATTTTTGTCTTGTAATAAGCACTTTTTATATCCTAGTTGTTAGCACACTGATTTCTGCATATTGACCTGGATAACTTTTAAAAATGTCTATGTAGAACTGAGGATGGGGCTCAACAATAGAGCATATGGCTTTGCCTTTGTGAGGTCCTGGGTTTGATGTCCCGCACTGCGAAAAATAAAAATATGTCTAATCTAAGAGTAGATTATGCACCTTGGTCCAAGATCCAAGAAATGCTAAACCAGAAAAAGAGATGTGTTTATGAATATTGCAGCATACACTAGTGGCAAACATTAGTGATTTTTAGATGACACTGTGAACAGAAGTATAATACAAGTAAATAATCAAGAATTTTGTTTTAATAATTAATAGTTGACTCTGGGACAAAAGAGACAGTGCAAGAGGTTAGGCGCCTGCCTTGCATGCAGCCACTTTGGTTGACCCTGTTTAGACCCCGACACTGCCTATGGTTCCTTGAGCACCACCAGTCACTCCTGAGCCTAAAGTCAGGAGTAGCCCCTGAATACTGCTGGGAGTGGTCCAACCCTTCCCTCCAAAAAGATTAGATTCTATCTCTGGTTCTGTCCCATAGACATTATATTACGAAGCTAATATCAAAAAGGTCCTTTGTAGCCAATTTATTACTTTAGAAGTCCAACTGCATTCTATCTAGCTTGTACATGTATGATACCGGAGTCCTGAATTCACTGACACCCGACAGAAAGCTCTTTAGGCTGCTATTTTTTGATAATCTGTGTTCTTTAGATTATTATTCTTTATTCTTTATTACTTTGCTTGTTGGTGAAGATGGTCGTAAGGAGTAAAGGATTCTATTTTGTATGTTGTAAGGATGCTCTTCGCTATTCCTCCTGTCTCCTATTCCTGAGAAGGCTAATGGTTGTTATGTTGCTGTGTAGTATGTTACAGTGAAACCCAACCAGATCCAGGTACTCAGGGGCTTGTTCGTGCCGTCTTGTTCGGGATGTCACACCCCACAGATCGAGCAGGCTGTGGGCATCGTGGGAGCTGTCATCATGCCACACAACATGTACCTGCATTCTGCCTTAGTTAAGGTGAGCCAGATGGGATCTTTGCCTTTAAGAGTGCGACAGGGGACACACTTTTAGTTTAAACTGTTAGCTCTTTGAAGGAACAAGGAATTTTCACATGGTTGGATATTTATGAACTACACACGCTTGGACTCTGATTTACTTACCTATAACCATAAGTGACTGACGAGAGGCTGGGTTCATTCTTCATAAACAGTCTGGAAGGTCCAGGCAGGAAGACTGAGCAATAAACAGGATGTCTGAGAAACCACCAACAGTACTTATTTTATTGAGACCATCATAGCACGCTCTCTCTCTCTCTCTCTCTCTCTCTCTCTCTCTCTCTCTCTCTCTCTTTTGCTCTGTACTCATCAAAGACTTTGTTGTTTCAGTCTTTGCTGGCAATTATTTTGAAAATCAGCTAACTGGTGGTAGATCAGAAATTCAGGAAAAGGATGTCTAACCTCAACGCTGACTCCTAAATCACTATGCATCAAGTCTTTATGTTTCAGTCTCAAGCTTGTCATGAAGGAACCCAGCCAGCCCTGTTCTGTCAGTCATACACACCAGCTTAGTGGGAGATTTTAGAGACTGACAATTAAGGTCTTAGACCTTTCTGAAATGAAATCAGGTTGTTTGGTGGGGCGGGGGGAGGGGGGGGGTAGGATGGAGGGAGCAGCAGTTTTTCCAGCTGCAATAACTGAGAGCTTAGTAATCACTTTATCACTGTTTCCTAGGTGGGGAATGTGTAATGTATTCATAGGGTCATGAAGTTCTTGGTGAACTCGGGTGTCAGCGGGACTCTCATTTTTCAATTGGTCAATTGTTTGCACTCTGGATCTTTTAGCTGACTCCAAACGTATGAAATACTATGTAGAAACTCATTCCGGCTAGTCAAAAATTAACTGTTGCTGTTATCTGTCTAGTCCAGACAAGTAAACCGAGCCAATAAACAAGAAGTCCGAGAAGCCAATAAGTACTTTTTCATTGAATCCTGCATTGCTCTCTTCGTGTCCTTCATCATAAATGTTTTTGTCGTCTCCGTTTTTGCCGAAGCATTTTTTGAGAAAAGCAACAAGCAAGTGGTGAGTAAACCATGTCCCTTATGGTAGTGAAGGGGAGGGTAAGCGAAAGTTGGACCGGATAGGAAAATACTGCTGTGACTTGGAGCTCACAGGAAATAGATCTGTAGCCTTATAGCCGCCTGGTTTTAGTCCAGTCTGTGCCTAGCCAAGGATGGACCAGTGTTTTGCAGATTTGGGGCCAACAAGAGAGGTAACCTCAGACTCAAAATTGCTCCATGCTGTTATGTTGATGGCCTCAAATCTATATCCATTTGCCTCTTTGTCATCTCCTTTGTTTTGTAAACTGCCAGCTTCTGGCCAGTCCTTTCATTTGCTGAAGAGGAGAGGTTGTGCAGAGTCAACAGACAGAAAAATTCGCTGGGATAGACCGTTTCTCATTTTGAATTCTCTGTCTTCTTGAATCCTTATTGCCTTTCTAGTTCGGGTCACCATTTTGTTTCCCAGGCACAAGATCTCTGACACCTGTCACTAAGGACTCCTTATTGTCGATATTCTTTTATATTCGAAGTCTTCCTAAGGGCCTTTTCTTCTTAATTTTCTTTGAAAATGCCTTTTTAAACATTTTTTGAGTTTTGGCTTCCCAGGAGGTCCAGGGCCCTTCCTCAGTTCTCAGCCAGCAAGGGTCCAAGGTTGCCATGCTGCTCAGGCTCTGCAGTGCTGATGACCTCCAGGACCAGGCCTCGTGGCATACTCGGGGCCTCCAGGAATGCACCCAGTCATGCTTAGGAAATCATGTGATGCCAAGAATTGAATCCAGGCTCGGCATGCACCCTAACTGCTACACTACTTCAGGCCCTAGTCCATCAACATTTAAAAAAAAAATCCAGTGTTTATATGGATTGCCATGTGAAACAAATGTTTTAGGGTTGGGACTGGGGTTGGGGGGTTATACCTGTCTGTGCTCAAGGTTTACTCTTGGCCCTGCACTCAAGGATCACTCCTGGCTGGCACAGGGGTGTCAGGGTCAAACCCAGGTTGCAAGGTAAGCTCCTTACCCACTATACTATTTTTCTGGCTCCTGTAAGAAGCTTTAATGGTCCTGAGGTCTTTTAATTTTTTTTAAAAAATAACTCTTGGCCCAAAAAGTCATGTGAGTGGGTTTCAGCAACTCACTCTCTCTCCAGTGGGTTTCACAAAGTGAATTTCTCTCAATGGAATGAGGCCGGTGCTTCAGTTGAGCTTCTTGGCTTCGGTATTTTTCTGCTCCTTCCTTAACATGTTTTTGTCAACAACTCAGCTCTTACGGTGCTCAATACAAGGATTAAAATTCTCTCTCTCTCTCTCTCTCTCTCTCTCTCTCTCTCTCTCTCTCTCTCTCTCTCTCAGTTTTTTTGTTTGTTTTTTGGTGGACCGTCGCTGACATTGTCAGGGATTACTCCTGACTTTGCTCAGGAATCATTCCTGGCAGTGCTTGGGGAAATATATGCCAAAGATTGAACTTGGGTTAGCACGTACAGTACAAATACCCTGCCTGCCTTACAATATCTCTGGGCCCATCATTACCACTGTAGCACTGTCCTCCTGTTGTTCATTGATTTGCTCGAGCGGGCACCAGTAACGTCTCCATTGTGAGACGTGTTGTCACTGTTTTTGGCATATCAAATACATTACTGGTAGCTTGCCAGGCTTTGCCGTGCTGGTGGGATACTCTGTAGCTTGCCGGGCTCTCCGGGAAGGGCGGAGGAATCGAACCCATGTTGGCTGCGTGCAAGGCCAACACCCTACCCGCTGTGCTGTCTCTCCAGCCCGGGACCCACCAGTACAAGTATTAATTCTCTTGATAAGAATCTTGCCTTTTTTTGTTTATAATAACGCCAATGGCATGCTGGGTAACATTGTAGACTCCCAGGTTTGCCCTGGGAACATTTGTGGAGCATTCCTTTTTAAACAGTGCCTGTTCCCTTTATAGTATCACCTTGCAAATCTGCATTATGCGGCTAACCCAATTTATGTTTTCTGGAAACTCTAGGGAACATATTATTGTGCCTCTCCTCTTCCCTTTGGATTGGTTAATTTGACGCTATACTGGAAGATGGTGGTTCTGGCTAAGGCTCTGAATACTTTGATGATATTTGGGGGCAGATAGAGAAATTATGAAGGAAGAGAACACGTGGCATCAAATTTGGTTTGGCACCAGCATCTATTCATATTATAGCCTGTAACCAGTTATCTTACCTCCATCTTGTATCAAATGTGATTTGTGTGTAATATCAAAGTGAGCTCTTCTCATCCATTCCTTACCTCAAAATTAAAGTTTCTGGGGCTGGGTAGATGACTCAAGTGGTAGAGTGCATGCCTGATACATGCAAAGGCCTAAGTTCAACTCCTGGTTCCATATGCCCCTTTTTCCCCCTGTTCCCCAACCACATGCGTACGTGCGCACACACACACATACACACACAGCACAAGGTATGAGGCTAAGTATTGCAAGGGGTGGCCCCTATAAACAAATGGGAGATCTCAATTGGTGTTCAGGAGATCCTTGGGGTCCATTCCTTTACATGTGCTTGCACACACACACTCTCTCTCTCTCTCTCTCTCTCTCTCTCTCTCTCTCTCTCTCTCTCTCTCTCTCTCTCTCTCTCGGCCAATTGGGCAGACAGTTAAATGCAAGGGATTTCCTCAGCCACACCCAGTGCTACTTGGAGAGGAGCTAAAAATTTTTTTGATTTATGCCGGGACATGTGACTCATGCATCAGATATAGGAGGTCCTTGAGTTTATCTCAAGCACAGCGAAATAAATAATAAAAGCAAATAGAAAGAAATAAAGTTGCTCCTATACTGTTTTGTGTTTCAGTTTGAAGTCTGTAAAAACAGCAGCAGTCACCATACTCACCTTTTTCCTGATGATAACTCCACACTAACAGTGGACATATATAAAGGGGTAAGCCTGTTTGTATTTGTGATCTGTGTTTCCAAATCAGTGTTCTTGGCATAAATGTGGGCTCACTTCAGAGCTGAGCATGTCTCCTCTGGAGAGTCACTGATTTCAGAAGTTTAGATGCCAGACAGGCATTTTGTTACCTGGGAGGGAATAGAGGATCAGATGAAAAGAAATTGTACCAGTCATTCCCAAACTTCCATAGATAGCATCTTGTTGTTCAGGCGTAATGATTGGGGTGACTAAAGAAGGTGTGTCTTGGGACCAGAGCGATAGTACAGCAGGTAGGGCATTTGCTTTGCACACAACTGACCTGGGTTTGACCCTGGCATCCCATATGTTCCCCCAAGCACTGCCAGGAGAAATTCCTGAGTGCAGAACCAGGAGTAGCCCCGAGCATTGCTGGGTACAACCCAAATAGCAAAATAAATAAATAGATATTAGCACACACAAAAAATCTGTTTCTTAATTGTGACCTGTCAGACCCTTTATGTTGATTACATTGTCACCCTCTAATAATAAAAATGTGGTGTGTGGCATACATAAACATATGTATCTATTCTCAGATTATTTTTCTTCATTTTACTGTTTCTCAGAATGATGTGTTAAGAAATGTAATTTGACAGGAACTGGAGCAATAGTACAAGCAGTAGTACTTGCCCTGCCTTGAATGTAGGTTCAGTCCTCAGCATGCGTATTGGTCTCTGAATAATGCCAGGATTGGTCCTGAGCACAGAGTCAGTAGTAAACCCTTAGAACAGCTAGGTGTGGCTTAAAAAGAAAAAAAAAGGAAAAGAAAAGAAATGTAATTTGGGAGCCAGAGAGATGGTACAGTGGGATAGGTGCTTGCCTTATATGTGGATGACCCGGGTTCAGTGTATGGCCCTCTGAGCACAGAGCTGGAAGTAAGCCCTGAACATTGTAGGGTATGTCCCAAAAACACTGAAACAAGAAAATGTAATTTAGGCAAAGTGTAGAGCTTTTAAGAATTTTTTAACTTCTAGATTGAGGATGAAGTTTATAGGAATCTGAAAAAGAGAAAGGACTTGACTGGGGACTAAAGTAACATTTTTTTTAATTGAAAATCTCTTTATTCATATCAGGACCTGAGTGTACCTTCAAAACATTGCCCAGAATAGTACTCGGTGTAGCTGGATGCACAGCAAAGAAGAGGGAGTCCCCAGAGAAATGCTGATTTGGATGTTGTCTAAGCCAGTCATTGACACAACCTGTCTGTCTTGCTTCTCTCAGGGTGTTGTCCTGGGATGTTACTTTGGACCTGCCGCTCTTTACATCTGGGCCGTGGGAATCCTGGCTGCCGGACAGAGCTCCACCATGACAGGAACCTATTCTGGCCAGTTTGTCATGGAGGTTCGTGTTGCCTTAACTGATTGAGCAGAAAAGGAGGTTGCCCTTCTATTACTCCTTACGCCCTTGCTTCTAACATCTTCCTGAACATCCCTAGATCTGTTTCTGTTTTCTGTTTCAGCTACACAGAAATCTTGTTTCTGTGTTTTCTTCCAGGGATTCCTGAACCTAAAATGGTCACGCTTTGCCCGGGTGATTCTGACCCGTTCTATTGCCATCATTCCTACTCTGCTTGTTTCTGTCTTCCAAGACGTAGAGCGTCTAACAGGAATGAATGACTTCTTGAATGTTCTTCAGAGTTTACAGGTAATGAGGGTGCTAAGGAAACTTGTAGCCCTTATAGTCACAGAACTTTGTATTCTGTCTTTGGGTGCCAAGCCTAGTACTGCATTCTGGGGGAAGTAAAAGAGGAAGGAAAAGTCACAGGATTGTGTCTGCTTCATACACACACGTGTGTAGTCAGTGTGCATGAATTCTCTGGCACTTCCTGGGTTTCAAAATTGGCATCATGTTTGTGTATGCATTGTAAGCTAGGACTATATATAGTTAGTTGTATGTGTATTAAAAGCTAGAACATCAAACACTCTTAACCAGTACAAGGAAATGTTAAATTAACATAATAGGACAATAATAAATTTTATGGAGGCTAAGAAGACAAAGCTGCTAGAAAGACACTTAAAATCACAACTGATTCTTAGGTTTAATAGCTCTATAATAGCACCAAATAAAGGGTGTTGGGAGGCTCCTCCTCCCAGGATGGGAGAAGCATGCTGAAAGTAGACTATAGACCAAACATGATTGCCACTCAATGCCTCTTTTGCAAACCACGGCACCCCAAAGGAGAGAGGGAACAAAAGGGAATGCCCTGCAACAGAAGCAGTATGGGATGGGGGGGGGGGGTGGGGGGTGGGAGGGATACTGGGACCTGTGGTGGTGGAGAACGGGCACTGGGGGAGGGATGGGTATTTGATCATTGTATAATTGAAACCCAAGCACAAAAATTTGTAAGTCTGCAACTGTACCTCATGGTGTCCCTCTAATAAAAAACAAAAATTAAAAAAAATAATAGCTCTATAGCTTTCATCATAATGCAGCATCTTGGTATTACGGGTAGGAGTATTTCTCAAGGAACAAATAGGGCCTGTATTTAGTTTTTGCTGATAGTGCTGTTCTCTAGAGTGACACAGAGCTTCCGTTAGCCCCAGCTGACCCAGCTAATCCTGGTTCTTCTTTTCCAGCTTCCCTTCGCCCTCATACCCATCCTCACATTCACGAGCTTGCGGCCAGTAATGAATGACTTTGCCAACGGATTGTGAGTGTACTCTCAGTTCTCTGTGGGATGCGGGGGGGACATTTCTTCAGCAAAAGGACAGTCACACAAACGGAAAAAGTCATCTGCTTTGAGAAGTGACAGAGCTCCTTCTCTATGCCTTTTGGCATAGAAAATGTTGCCTGTGAATATGACCCTATTTTTTGTTTCTTGAGGAAAATGTTCAACTTTGAGGGATTTAATTTCAGCAGCATCATTGAATTTAAATTCCACAATAAATGAGAGAAAAGCCATAAGCTGACACCGTTAACACTTTTATCTACAGCTTTAAGGAAATGGTGTATTTGAAATGATAGCTGCCTCTAAAGGGATTCTCGTGACTTGTTGTATTTCTAGGAACTTAAATCATAGGGATTATTATTTTCTCTCATTATCCTAATCTGAAATATATTAAGAATATTTTCAGTTAGGGCTGGAGTGATAGCACAGCGGGTAAGGCGTTCGCCTTGCAAGCGGACAATATGGCCGACCCGAGTTCGATTCCTCTATCCCTCTCGGAGAGCCCGGCAAGCTACCGAGAGTATTCGATACACCAGACACAGTAACAACAAAGTCTCCAATGGAGACGTTACTGGGCCCGCTCGAGCAAATCGACGATCAACGGGAGGGCCTTTACTTTACTTTTACTTATTTTCAGTTCAGCCTGAAATGTCTAGAACTTATTTGCTGCTGTCTACTACCCCACAAAATAATGTTCATTTGGGGAGGGTGAGTGGTAGTGTCTCTCCCAAGCCATGCTAAGGAGGCTTGGGGGCCCTTCCTAGAGATTCTCAGCCAGTTCAGCTGTCAGTTCTATGCAAGATGCAGAGCTGCTGGGTCCTGAGCGTTAAGTACAGAGGATAGGGTGTTTGCCTTGCATGTGGCCCACCTGGTTCCATCCCAGCATCCCATATGTTCCCCCACACACTGCCAGAGGGGATTCCTGAGTGCAGAGCCAGGAGTAACCCCTGAGCACTGCTGGTGTGGCCCCAAAACCAAAGTAAAAGATGTAGTGCTGCTTGGACCCTGGGGTGGGGGCCTGAGTTTTATCCAGGTCACCCTGGCAGTACCTTGGTCTCCAGGGCTGCAGTTGATGATTCTCAGGAAATTATGTGGTGGCAGAGAGTGAATGGGAGTTGGCCATCTGTAAGGCAAGCACCTTTGCTGTCTGGTCCCCGTAGTGTTATTTTAATGTTAATAGCTAGCTTAGACTATTTCACCAGTGCCTTTTTTTTTTCCTTACAGGGGCTGGCGAATTGCCGGTGGCATCTTGGTCCTCATTGTCTGTTCCATAAACATGTACTTTGTAGTGGTTTATGTCCAGGACCTAGGGCATGTGTCATTATATGTGGTGGCTGCTGTCATCAGCTTGGCTTATCTGAGCTTTGTATTTTACTTGGTAAGTCCGTCCAGTACAGGGTATGTGAGGGGGAGTCCATGAGTTCAAAGATGCAGTGGTGGTAGAGGTGGAACATGTAGAAATTCAAGGACCAGAGGCCATAGAATACAACAGCTGGGGCACTTGCTTTGCATGCCCTAGTCAACCTGGGTTCAGGCCCCAGCATTCCCTCAGATTCCCTGAGCACTACCAGGAGTGATTCGTAAGTGCTCAGGGATTCTAACTGGGCTCAACATTCAGGGCAAGCACCTTAATCCCTGTACTTTCTCTCCGCCCCCGAAGTAATATCTGTAACCATAAAATTGACTTCGGTTTTTAGGGCTGGGAATGTGCTTCAGTCGCAGAAAATATGCCTCACTCGTGTGAGGCCCTGGATTTAATCCCTAACACCACACACATGTACACACATGCACACGTGTACCCTGCCCCCCCAACACACACACACACACACACACACACACACACACACCCCTTGGTTTCTAGGAGACATCATTTTTGTCTGGTTTCCATGGTTAGACAGACATTCTTATGACAAGAGTCGTATGTTTGAGGGAGTAAGAGAAGGGTGACAATGTAGGAAATAGAGAGCAGTGCAGGATGGAACTGGAAAAGCGTTGTGCTGCCTGATTTTAGAGCTTTGGGGCAGAGCTCATGTGTTTTCACATCCCTATTCAACTCTACTTCTAAATTCCTGTTCAATAAGGAACTAAAGAAATAGTGATATTCTCTTACTGGGTTATCTGAACAGTATTAAAAATCATTTTAAAAACCATAACCTATTTAGGAAATTCAAGAGAGTGAAGAATTATTATACCTTTATAATACAGAATGTAAGGATCTAGAATAAATTACATCAAAGTGCTAATTTCAATATATTAGCTTGGTGCTAATTATACATGTATGTATTATAGATATATATGTATTTTCTGTATAATACATATGTTATAGAATAATATATGTATTATAGTTATATTTACCCTCTATTTTTCAAGTCATGCTTTTCATTAATATTAATGAAAATCAGTTACAATAACACCAGCCACAAACTTACCTTCTTCTCTTTAGGTTTCTTGAAAATAATACAAAGGATGAAAATTGGTGACAGCAAAATTTATACTATGTTTCAAAGACTGATTAAGAATTAGAGACTCGGGGCTGGAGCGATAGCACAGCGGGTAGGGCGTTTGCCTTGCACATGGCCCACCCAGGTTCGATTCCCATCATCCAACATGGTTCCCCGAGTACCGCCAGGAGTAATTCCTGAGTGCAGAGCCAGGAGTAACCCCTGAGCATCGCCAGGTGTGACCCAAAAAAGCAAAAAAAAAAAAAAAATTAGAGACTAGGAGCTTGAGCGATAGCACAGTGGGTAAGGCATTTGCCTTGCATGCAGCTGACCCAGGTTCAAGTCCCAGCATCCCTGTATCGTCCCCTGATAACCACCAGGAGAAATTCCTGAGTGCAGAGCCATGAGTAACCCCTGTACATTGCCAGGTGTGAGCCAAAATGAAAAAAAAAAGAATTAGAGGCTAGTTGGGGCTGGAGAGATAGGATGGCAGGTAAAGTGCTTGCCTTGCACGCTGCTGACCAGGGCTCAATCCCTGGCACTCCACATTCTCCCCCAAGCCCTCCAAGAGTGATTCCTCGGTGTGGAGCCAGTAGTAACCCCTGACCATGCTGGGTGTGGCCTTAAAACCAAAATAAATAACAGACTAGTTATTCTTTATAAGTAATTCTTAATAATTCTTACCTACTTCTCAAACCAGTATCTGACAGGAATCGTTTTAAATATTCATTATAGAAGTCAAGGAAATTCAGGACCAGAGATAGGCTAAGTGATAGAGTGTATACTTCACATGTGAACTTCACATGGGCTCAATTCCCAGCAAACACCCCTTAAGAAAATGAAGTAATGAAAGAATCCTTCATGCACATTGGTTATTAAAATGCCAAATTGTCTGTCATCCTGAAACTTGAAACTGTTGACAATCCAGATTTAAGGCTGAAGACTGATTTACATGTGGGTTACTGCTGTTTATCTCTAAAATATGGACTTCATAGAGCAGAGCACTTTGAGAGACTGTTTCAGTTGTACCGCCATCATGAGGAATGGAAAAAATTGTCTTCAGGGAATCTCTACTTGAATAAAAGAAACACACCACAAACACACAACAGTAGGAAACAGAAGTTAGTATTGAAAATTGCCAAAACACCATGACAGAAACTAGCATGTATTGAGGAAGATGGGTTCTGGTGTGTTTGGAAGGGTATGAAACTGGGTGCATGTCTTGTACAGTCTTGCTGATAGAAGACAGGCAAAGCTGGGCGTTCGCAGGAGAAAGCCAGTTTACATGGGAGTAGGGCAGTGAGAACAGTCAGGAGACTGGCGACTGATGATGCCCAAATTTTATCTTTCAGAGTTGGCAATGTTTGATTGCATTGGGCATGTCCTTCCTGGATTGTGGGCGCACGGTAAGCATCTCTAAAGCGCTGATGACCGAAGAAGCCACCGATAGCAACACTAAGTAAACTGGATCAGTTTTCTTCAAGTAACCGACAGAGCCAGTGGGTTCCTGTGACCTACTATGTGAACAGGCCAGGAGCCTGTACTGTTGCACAGACTGGTTGTAGTTAGGGATCAACTTTTTGTTGAAAGAGATGGTCCCATACATGTTTGAAAAATGCAAAGTTAATTCTTCCTGGCCTCTTAAATTGGGACCTGGAAGAGGTTGGATCTTTGAAATGCTACATTTGCTACTGTCATTGCAACACTAACTCTTAAGTAGCTGCCCAAGGGCAAACTTGTTTTATCCCTTTGAAAAATAATACACTATCTCCATGATTCTAAATCAGGTAATATATTAAAAATAATTTGAAACATGCAATAATTTTTACCCTAATACAAATTACAGGACGGGTATGCAAATTTTGCTTTTCAAAAGATAATGGATTGAGAAATAATTTTCTAATGCATACTCTTTCCATCATTTTTCAGTATAAAAAATAACTTCTGAAATAGGGTGGTTTCATTTATATATAATATAAAATCGTGAAACATCTACCTCTGTTAGCTTCAGGATTCTTTTCATTGATTTCCACTTCAATGGAAACTTGAGTGAAATTTAAGAGGAGTTAGGAATCATGAGGTGAAAGTGTACAAATAGCAAAACCCATCTGTAGCTGGTGGTTCCTAATCTCCTTTGAAAGTGATTTCAAAGGTTTCGCTCACGTATTGCAAGTGTCTGAGGATTTCCTGGAGACTGCTGATAGAACAACCATCTGAGTACACAGATTTTCTGATGATACTTACTCTCCAGCATACCGAGCTGTTAAACCTCCCTTCCCACTCAGGAGGGTGGTGGTAGAAAAGACGGGGAACATTTCTGACTGATATTCTCGTCAGAATGTGAGGAGAAAATATGCGAAGGAGAAGAGTCATCTCTTTCATTCTAAAGCCATCTCCTACCAGAATCATCACTTCTCTCGGAAGCCCCCAAATCTTGCTGTTTTATCTTGGACCTAACTGGCAAAGCTGAGTGTCACACTAAATCATCATCAGTGAGGTTCAAGTACTGGAAGGTTCCACAGTCTGCAGTCATTCCCTCAGAGGGAAAAACTGAGACCAGATGGTGGCGCTGTCGAGTCAGAGGAAACGGTTCCATTCAGACGAAGCTGCTGCTCTTCAGTGACCTGTGACAGTTTTCTGCCTTTTCTTACATGGAGTCTAAGATTAAATGATGAACTGAATCCTAACCACATTTTTCTGGTGGAGAGAAAGAATTACAAGTACTTGGTAGCCATAGACATTGTGGGAACAGTCATGGGAATGGCATTGAAAGATTTGTCATTTTGGATCTGTCAACCTGGAGTCCTGGTTGATGAATGTTCTCTGTTCCTCTAAGCCCCTTAAATGAGGCGTTGCTGGTACTTTGCTCCCGATCAAGAGCATGGATTGAAGGTGCCTTCTGTGAGGCATTAGGGGTAGAACACTGGGGCTCATGGACCAGCCCTTTATTTTAGCTCCTCAAATATTTCTTCCTAGTTGAGAGTTGCTTGGAATACTCTGTATGTGATATTCGATGGCATTAAAGCACTCCCGTATCATATTCCTCTTGACCCTTAAGCAAAGGATCATGAAAGAAAGCTGTCTGGTTTGTTCTACCGTGATACATGCCCCTCTCCCCTCCATCAGTGCCCAAAGTGATTATGAGAGATGTTGGGACCGATGTCTTAAACTTTCATTGGTAAAAGCTAAGTTGAAAAGTAAACAAAAATGAAAAGAACCCAAGTCTTTGTAAAGACAGGTATAGGAACCTTACCTTTGTCTTGAGTCCGGTGGGTCTGATTTACAAATATTATGTAGTCCAAGAAAAACTTCTAGGTTTCAGGCGTGACAGGGCTAGAGAGATCATACCAGCCAATAGCAGTTTGCCTTGCACACAGCTGACCCAGGTTTGATGCCCAGCATCCCATAAGGTCCACAGAACCCAGCCAGAAGTAAGCCTTGAGGAAACCCTGGAGTAAGCCAGGAAGAAACCCTGAGCTCCTGCCAGGCTTGGCCCCAAAACGAAAAGAAAAAAAGCTGCTAGATTTCTTTCAGATTTATATTTGTGATTTGTGGGCAATGGGACGTTTCTTCCCAGTTGAGTGGCACTTGAATACTCTGCGTGTGGTATCTGACGGTTTTAAAGCACTCCCATATCATATTCCACTTGATCCTCCAGCACTCTGGGCACAGTGAACATGCTTAGAACTGGAGTCTTCCAATCCCGGAATGCAGAGTGTGTATATGAGAAGCTCAGAATCGTTAACTGTACTTCTTATAAGTTGGCCCTTTGTTCTCCTTGGCTGGGACGTGGAATAACTGTGCTCCTGCAACACACTGGGGAATAACCAGCTGGGGAAGAACAGCAGCTTGGCTCCATCTTGGCTCTTGTGAGGTCCTGCAGTGATGTTAGGAGTGTTACAGCTGAGTTTTTAACATTTAACACTATGTAAGCTTGATCTGTAATTAAAATTTTTTTCATTTTCCAGTTTGGCTTCTTGGGTATTTTGTTAATCTTGAAAACACTTTCTTAATGGGGGTCTCAATTACCTTGACACAAAAGTGTTAAAAAAAATAGCAGCTACCACCTGGAATGACATGTTACGAACTTAGTGATTTGTTTTCCTTAGAAGGGATAGAGAAATATATTTAGTCCCCCGGTGACTGCAGACACCAAGACGCTAATTTCTCTTTGCCCATATAGAGTCATAGTTTTCACTGTAGCTAAGGGTTACGTTATTCTCCAGTTTGAACTTGAAAAAAAAAATGGTCTCTGCCTTTCTAAACTGCTTTAAACTGAACACTTCACGGTAGTCTTGTTTCACCATTGAAGTAGACCTTTTTGTTCTTATATGCTGCCAATAAAAGCTACTGAGTAGATGATACAGCCAGTAGGGTCAAACCCCAGTTTGATCCCCAGCACTCCATATGGTCTTCTAACCTGCCAAGTGATCCCTGGGGGCAGAGCCAGGAGTAAATCCTGAGCTCCAGGGGGTCTGGCCCAAAAAACAAAACAAAACTTACTGAGTAATTGGAGAAAAAGTGTTTAGGGCAAGATGAACGAACCTTTGGGAATATATGATACAAACATGATTTAAATATAAACAAAATAATATGTATAATATATAAGCCATATAAAGTTAATTGTAATTATATTCCTTTATAGTTTATTGTTTATAGTAGTACATAATATTGGCAATGTTTAATAAAGATTAAATCTGGGCCAGAGACACTACAGAAGTTAAGGCACTTGAATTGCATGTACCCGTCCCAGCTGCCATTCCTGGCACCACTTATGTACCAGTACAGACAGGAGTAAGCCTGAGAACTGCCAGGTGTGGCACCAAAAAAAAAAACGTCAAAGCCCAGACGCAATAAAGTTTAGCTCTGTCACCAAACACTCAGATTTAAGTCATCAATACATTTATCCCAAGAACATAGAGCTTCACTTTCCCTCTCTCAGTTGCAAGCTTTCTTTGCCTGTTTCCCCAGACCTGAATGCTCTCAGCAACACTATAGAAATGATCTGGGAAGAATTTTATTCTCCATGTTGTCTTTCCAGATATTACTCTCCCCTTAATCTAAGTTTGATTTCATAAATAGGATACAAAGCATTTTAAAGACCTTGATTTGAGGTATTTCCTTTGGCTTTCCTTTCTGGAATGTGTTCTACTCTATTGGCTACAAATGACCATCGTATGACAGAATGTTAAGAACGCTAAGTGAACAGACACAGCTTGGCTAGTGCCATTTGTTGAGGAATGTGAGACCAGGCAGTAGGTCACTGTCACTGTCCTCCTGTTGTTCATTGATTTGCAAATTAATACAAATCTCAGCTTCTTGTGTTCATGAATGTAAAAATAGCTACATCACTATATGTTAGTTCTGACTTGAGTGTTCATATCACCTCATTTAATTCTCATAACCAGAGAATCCTTTGTAAAAGAGGCAAAAAAGCAAAGTAATTTCCCCCAGTTATATCTGACAAGTGGACAATTTGAGTAGCTTAACTCCAGAGACCATTTGCACATAGCTGTCAGTGAACCATCCTATATACCTACTGTACATATACTCATATGAGGGCCTTCATATGAGGGTAAGACCATAAGTTTGGTGTTTAATAGCACTAGGAACATCAACATATAGCACAGGCATTTGCTTGATACTCTGATGAGTGTCTGAATTAGGCTAATTTTGTTTGGTCTGCACTAAGTTTTAGAGTGCTTTTCGCTTGATTTTTGTTTTGGGAGGTCATACCTGGCAGTGCTCTGGGTTTGTTCCTGGCTGATGCAGATTCAGGATTCATTCCTGGTGGACTTTGGGGGCCATATGGGATGCCAGGGATAGGGATAGAACCCAGGTCAGCTGCGTGCATGCCCTACCCACTGTACTATCACTCCAACCCCTAAAGAGTACTTTTTAATGCTTTCTGGCAGTCTTTGAAATTGAGCAAATCCCTTTAAAACACAACCCTAGAAATAGCTAAGAAGCAATAGTTTATTCATTTACATTGCCTCTCTGCCCTTAGATATGTTTTAGCCTATGGTTCTAACCACGTTTCTCAATATTTTGGGGCAGTTTTTCTAATAAAAGAAATCTGCCAAGTTGTTTAAGTGATAGAGTCTCGGATCATTGACTTATGCAGCCCTTGTTAGAAAACAGCAAATTATATCGTTTTTAACTTTCTTGAGAAAGCATGGGTTGTCTCTGGAATTGAAAATTGATCTTGGTTACCAAAACCTGAGATGTAAGGCCCTAAGATGAGTAACTAAGCTGAAGTCTGAAGAGCTGTTTTCTCTGCACTAAAACTAGTGTGACTCCATATTTTTCTAGTTCATTTGTTGAGAATGGTTTTAGGCTCCATTTGATTTCTTCACAGTCATCAGGCCTGTGAGGTCTGCAACAATATTAGACTACACAGTTTGTTAAGAAGTACTTAATAGGAGTCACGTGAGATAGCTTAGTAGTGCCCTTGGTTTTTTATTCCCGTTTTACAAATAAGTAGGGTGTGATTCCAAAGGGATCATACTACCTGTTCAAGATCATAGGAAGTGGTAGAATTCAAGCTTGAGTTCAACTCTAGCACCTCTTTCATGACACTCTGATGGGAACCATTCATTGCTATAGATTTGTAGACTTACAGTTTAATTTAGCATTACCTTGGAGCAAAAGAGCAATACATTTCTAAACTTCTAAAAACAGTGAGACTAATATGAAACTGAATGATTCTCCCAAGCTATATCCAGAAGGGAAATAAAAAAGGAAGACAACTTCACAGATCCAACCAAACTACCTGAGTACAGTTCTCTAGGAACAGTCTGACAATCTGTTTTAAAAGCCCCCAAAGTGATATTGATTCAGACTAACAAAATATGGGACTCAGGTCATGGGACATGGGAGGCATAGCATGGAGTTGGCTGATTTTTAAACTGAGAAAAAATTATCTGCTCCGCTGCCAAAGAATGTTGGGGGATAGGATTTAGTATTCAGGAGTTAGACCTTTTAAAACTGGGTTTCTGAAATACACACAGTAAGATATAAAATCACTCTGCATTCTCTTGTAACATCCAGATTGTACGGACCCGTCAATGCAGTGAGTCCCAAGAATAGCCAAAATGTAAATTTTGTTCAAATGTTGGGCATTCCATCATTCAGTGGCTAGCTAGAAATGGTTTACAGAGACTTGAGGAATTGCCTCAAGTTCCTTTTCCAAAGTAAAAAGAAATAGTTATGGGGATCAGGTTGGAGTCTAGATTGATAATGCTGATTTTGACTGACACGTGAAAATAAATCTAACCCTTTTCTATCTTTCATCCTTAGTACCATCTGGGATTGACAGCGCAGCCTGAACTCTACCTTCTCAACACCGTGGATGCTGACTCTCTCATGACTAGATGACCATCGGCCCGTATATGAATTACTTTCACTTAGTGCTTTTCTACCAAGTGCCCTAACATCTCTGTTAGTTCAGAGGTGAGTTTTGTTCAAATGTTTTGAACAAAAGCAAAAATTTCCTCATGGGAAGGGTGTTAAAAGCTGACAGGTTGAAGGGTAGGTCAGAGACCCACCCACTTACAACACTCCTACAATAGGCATACTAAATGATTGGCCTTTGAAGGCCACACACCCCTATGGGCTTGTGTCTTGACTTCTGGAATTAAAAAGATACATGTATGTGCATATATTTATGTAAACCTGAACATATTGGTTTGGGTAGGACTTGAAGATTATATAAACTGATAGATCTTTTGTATTTTTTAAAACATATATTTTGTACAGATAAGTCCAGAGCACAAATAAGAAAAGGAATGAACTAGTCAAATCGATTTTCTTCTATAGTGGTGCTTTAGTATGTCACTTAGACCTCACTTCGGTTTTAATCAGCCATCAGCCTTAATAATCATTCATACCAGCACATCATTTCTAAAGAGAACATTTCTTCTGTGTGGAATTTCAGTCCTGACTATCAGTACACTTTGTCATCTTCTTCCTTGTTGTCTTTTTTTCTGTACTCTTATAGATATGTTTTAATTTTTGAAAGAACTAAATACCTACTAACAAGATTCCGACTGTTCTTTAACCAATTATTTATTGCCAATGTTGCATTGACTCAGTTCTTTCTGGGCTCAGATTTTTGTTCTAAACAGGAGCACCGGGGGCTAGAGAGAGTATAGTAGGTAAGATGCTTGCCTTCCACGCTGGCACCCCATGAGGTCCCCCGTGCACCTCCAGATGCTTCCTGAGTGCAGAATCAGGAGTAACCCCTGAACATGCCAGGTATAACCCAAATACAAACAAGCAAACAAACAAATGGAAAAAAGGAGCATCGAATATTTGCTTTGTAAGTTCCAAGAGAAGATAATGAAAGTAATCATTTTTTTTCTAATGTGTGTGTAATGAATGACACTATGTCTTTTCTTCTGAATTTTCTCATTAACACTCCTAACACCATTTTTGTCCCAAAATCTCTATCAGAAGTGAATAATATTTCTAATATTGAATCTCCTAGGAAGCACTAAGATCTTTATGTCAAATAATATGAGATTAGAACCGGAATGGAGTTCAGAACCCTATCATAAACTGCCTGCCTAAATGAAGGTTGTAGTTGTTTTCTTTAAACCTCCCTACTAAATGGGATTTTTCGCCCTGAAAATTTTTATAAGGACTAGGAGATAGTGCAATGGTGGGAGCACATGCTCTGCATGCAGAAGGCCTGGGGTTGGTCCCTGGCATTGCATGGTGCCCGAACACCATGACCCCAGGCACCCAGCTAGCCAGGTGTGTTCCATGCCCCCCCCCCCCCGCCACCTCCTAGTTAAAAATATAGAGCAGTTTTGAAAAATGATGTGACAAGTGAGGAGATTTTCAACAGTGGACTCGCGTCCCAGAATAAAGATGCAGCTGACTGGACCAGAACTAGCAACTGTCCGTTTTTAAAGGATCTGCTCTAGATTAGTATACACTGCTTCGCTCCCTCATTTCCTTTTG